CTGAGAAGTCGCAAATGATGCTGAAAATTGTGCAATCATCAGTGAAAATGGTTGATTTTGAACCTTAATTGCACTTTCCCATCCTATTGCCTTTCACTTAATTCCCTTCGTGTTCTGAAAAACCAATCAATCTGTTTTGAATTATGTCAACAATGGAGCATCCACAATGCTCTTCAGGTGAAAATTCAAAGCTTCACAATGTCCTCAGTGAAGAAATTTCTCTTAGACCAGTCTGAAATCCAATAATTCTTATTTCTAAGATAGTAGAAGGATCCAGGCCCGAACCGTCAGCTTTCCTGTTTCTCTGATGCTGCTTGGCCTGCTGTGTTCATCCAGCTCTACACCTTGTTATCTCAAATTCTTATTTCGAAATGGGGAAACAGCCTGTCAATATCTACCCTGGCATACTGTCTAAGAATGATAGATACAACCACATATTCCTCCGTAAGATCATCTCTTAGAGATTCCTTCGACTTCTTGTCAGAAGAAGCTACATTTTTCTATTAGCCACATATAACCCTCTGAAAGTCCTGACACTCAGAACAAGCCTTGCTGCTATTTTCTTCCCTGCCTCTGTCATTTGAATCTGTTACTTATGTCTTGTTGACCCAGCGCTCAATGGGAAGCTGACCAGAGCTAGACACATGTCAAAGTGACCAGGGCTCTCCCAGTTTGTGTATATCTTCCTCCGGCTGCACTCTTCTGTTTCGATTGTCTTGTTCAATATTTCTACTAAAACCAGTTAATCTGTTCATTTCATATGGTACTATTTCAACACCATTCATCAAGTATGAATGTTGTCTGTTTTAACTTTCAGCACAGTGTATTTTATGTCAATCCACATTTAATGTCCTCTTCTGTGCCTTGTACATATGGTTGCACAGGCATGCATATACACCGATTGATGCACATGTGCAGATGGGTGCATGGACTGACATTAGCAGACACACACTTGCATGATAGATGCAAAAAGAACAAAAGTCCTTCCATTCATAAAACACCTTTCTCAATTTCAGGATCTTCCGAAAGAGAACAGTACAGCTCTTATAGAATAGTCACTGTGATGATGCAGGAAGCACAGCAAGCTCCCACAAGTAGCAGTGTGCTAACACCCAGGCAAGCTGTTACATTGAGGGATAAAGATTTGTCACACCAACAAGAAAGGACAGATGGGACCTTGTTTTGACATCTGATCTGGCTGCTTGTACCTTCAACACTCCCTCAATACTAACAACAGAAGTATCAGCATAGACTGTACACCTTCAAATCCAGAGTGGGCCTTCAACCCACAACCTTTTGGCTTAAAGGTAATTTTCCACTGAACTACAACGAAATCCAGTAGGCAATGTGAAGCCCTGAGGAAAATTAGCTCCAGTAGTGTTACCAGCATTTTAATGAAAATGTTAGCAAAGTAAAGGATGTTGAAAATACCCCACTATAGATGTGACTTGTATATACCAATAATTAGATCAGGTAACTGTATCTGATGCCGTAGGCTCAGTTGTCACCTGACATCATGTAAATTCCCTTTGCTCAAATTCAGTGCCAAGTCAAGGAGAGACATTTCCAAGTCTAATCCACAGCAAGTCAGTGTATGTGGGCAACCTGCCAATGGAATACCAATGCCAAACGGAAGATATGGTAATGACTCCTCAAGTGTCTAGACACTTTGACCTTGCTTGGGTGTACTTCTTGACTAAAGTTAATAGCCCTTTACGTAAACAACACAGACCCAGCTGGAATGCTCCTTTAGCACCTTCTCCTTAGCCTATCATTAACAAGTAACTGTGGGCACAAGGGAAATCTTACTCAATGGATTAAACTTGCTCATTGGCAACATGGCACTTCTTCACATGGATTAATGGGCTCCATTAGTAGGATAGTAACAAATTAACACTATCAGGCTGATCACATAACTGCCCGCCCAATTCTGTGCTGGTGGCTAAAGTGCTTTGGTGTGGCCTGTGGATTTTGAGAGGTTCTTACCTCCAAACCTGATAGTTCCAATATTGTCTTGGACACTCCCCTGTCCTCCATCTCAGTCTTATCTAAGACTCTTCCTTCCCTGTTTAAAATAATAGCATATGCTGTTCACCGCTGTGCTCACTGACCTGCACCGGCTCCAGCAACACCTTGATTTAAATATTCTCATCCTCACCTTTGAATCCCTACATGGCCTCAGCCCTTCTTCTCTCTCTGTGACCCCCCCCCAGCTCCATGACCAGAGCCCAAGACAAAGTGGGGTACATAAAAGCCCAGTAGCTGTGGCCTGGAGTTTTAGGGGGCCCACAATGCTTGGATTAAGTCCTGGGGCCAAGGCCACAAGCAGCCAGGGACTGTGATTTCTGTCCCCATGCCTGTCCACAACCCTGCAAGATTCTCTGTGCACCTCCAATTCTGGCCGCATGCCCATTCCTGAGTGGATACCTCTCTCTCTTACCTCTGTATTAGGAGGAGGGTCAAAGGTTACAGGGAGAAAGCAGGAGAATGGGCTTGAGAAACATCTCAGCCACGAACGAATGGTGGAGCAGACTCAATGGCCTGAATGGCCTCATTCTGCACCAATATCTTATGGCTCCATGATGTGGGTTCAAGTTCCATCTAGACTGACACTCCAGTGCAGTACTGAGCCATGCTATAATGTAAATATGGAGCCGTTTCTCAGGTGGGACTTGAAACTACACAGCTGACTGTTCTCAGGTAAAACAAAATCCTACAGTCACTACGTCAAAGCAGGGCAGGGTGAGCAGGGGCAGTTTCTCCTGGTGTCCTTACCCCTCGACCAGCATCACCGGAGGAAAAACCTGATCACATTGTGGGATCTTGCTGTGCGCAGACCGCATGCTGCATCTCCTGTATTACAGCGGTGCTTAGCACGTCCTGGCTATGATTGTGAACGGCGCTATATAAACTCAGTCAACAATCACAGGAGCTGGAGCTTGGTTTGGACTCGATTTAGAATTTTTTTTTGAAAGCAGGATTGGAGTGAATTGTGGATCAAGCAGCGACGTGTGTGAGGTGATGGGGTGGGGAGAGTCGGGGTGGGAGTGGGGGGCAGTTGCTGATATTTCTGAGCAACTCCTGGGCCATGTCTCAGTCAGAGTCAGCTGCTCACTGCTTCATGCAAACTATTCTGGGCGCTGACAGTAATCGAGTTTCACTGATGTCAGGGGCTGACTTCACCCACGGGCGATTATAAATAGTCTCAGAGCTGGGCACGGCGCTGCAAACCGACACAGAGACAGAGAGAGAACACTACTGACCCAAGGCCAGCTCCAACAGCTCAGCATCAGGTAGGAATCTCCGGGTGCGGGTCCGGCACTGACCTCGGGCTCACTCTCTGCGGACTGGGCTGCAGGGAAGGGAGGGGGACACGGGCACTTTATGGACTTGTCCTGATTTCGGCTGCAAAGCCCAGAGTTGCTGGGATCGTTCTGTGCATCTTTTCCAGAATAGCTTGAGGGAATGATTGCTGGACAGGAAGATGTATAATTCATTCAATTTATTTTTAAAGATGGGATAGATCGTCAAGTGTGCATAAATTTCCGAGAAAATAATTTGTGTGATTAAAAACATTGCCCACTTTAACGGAAGTGCTGAATGAGCTTGCCAAAGTTGTCACAAATTCCAGAAATATTTACCGCCCAGTCGTCACCAAATCACAGCAGGTGCTGTTTTCCACACTATGAACAGAAAGATGATCTCAGCATGGAGCTGACGGGTTAGTAATTCATTGAGGAGAAAGACCTGTCTCTGTCACATCAAAGTCTCAATGTGACCTCACCCAGTCAGCTCTCTCTCAGCACTGACCCTCCGACAGTGCGGCACTCCCTCAGTACTGACCC